TTCAGGACCGCAAGAATGGACCGTCATTGGAATGATTCTTTTTTAACCCGTGCACTGTTTTTAGCTGGAATTTAATAGCTACTACAAAATATTTTGTGATTACGTTTGGCTAAGAATGAATACCATCAGCGCTAAGTTTTCACTGCCATTGCATTTTGTCCAGAAGTATATTGTTGCCGACAAACTGCACTAGGTAGTTGGCGTTGCGGCTCATTTCGGCTCTGATCGTAGCTGCCGGACCGGGCCGATTCGTGATCCCGGTCGGCGCCGCCCCACGCCGCCGCCGCCCCCATCCCCCACCCCCCCCCATTTACTTATCATCATGCTTGGTCCCCTTTCGTCTCACAACGAAAAGTTGAACTCTTGGAAAAAAATGCATGTTCCAAAACAAGTTGAAACTTGGCGCGACTTAAATGGGAAGAAGTTATTCCAGCCTCGCTGACGGAACATCACTCAGCTAAAAATTTCACCGCTCAAAGAAAGCCCTATTGTCAGTCTAATCGTACCTGTGTTTCATCATGCCACCTAACGGTATGCGCACAAAGTGTGACTCCCAGCACCGGTGACTAAAGCTGGCGCGACTGCGGCGTCCGCCGGCGCCTGGGGTGACGAATCCCGGCACGCGCCGCCCCCGGCAGCTCCAGCGCCGCAGGCGGGCTGACACGCACACGCGTGGGGTGCCGCGGCGGCTCCGCAGGCGTCTGCCACCGGAGCTCGAGAGATGACACAGCGCGCGGCGTCCGGCGGGGGCGGGGGCGGGGCGGCGGCGGCCGAGGTGTCGACTGACGCACTCTGGTGACTCAGAGCGGCGTCCGACCACCTGGCGTCTCTCTGCTCCCTGGCACCGGCCCCCGGCACTCCCTCCAGCCTGCACTTGCCCCTCCCCGAGACACGGAGCAGTGACCGTGACCGTGTCTGTGCAGACAGTCGGTGACCGCCCGGCTCCGGAGAGAGGTGAGAGGGTTCGACCGCAAATCGGCGGAGCGGTGAGAGGACCAGAGACAGGTAACCAAGGCCACCTCGCGAGTCACGTTCAAGGTGAGTCACATGTCCCGTATAATTATAGTGCGTAAAGTAGTGAGTTGAGTCATGCCTTACGTCATGGTGGTGGAGTAGGAGATTATCAGCTGATGCACTACTCATTATGCCGTACCAGGCACGATTCAATGGATATATTTCTAGAATATTGAGCAAGGTGACATAATAGTTTCCTATGAATGTCGATTGGCGCACTCGATGCGGCTGACAGAAAATACCTATTGCATCTGGAGCTTGCATCATTGTACACAACAGTCAACAGCTGATTGTATAATACATAACGAACAGTATTCTTTCGGAGTACAATTACAAATAAACTTATATTGATTTGTAACTAAGTGATTGATACTAACATTTCAAAATTCATGACATTCATGAACTGAGAACGCTCTCCAAGTAATTCCATCTGGGTCCATGGAGACGGGGCGAGCCTCTGTATTTTGTTCTCCCCAGATGCCAGACGTCGCTGGGCGCGGCAGCCAGGAAGCTCAGTCTAGTTTTGGCCGTGACTTTGCGCGTCTGACAGGGGGCGGGACATATGACCCAGTCCCGTCTGTTTTGTCTGCGCCGATCCGCTGAGCTGATTGTTCCAGCGGCTGGCCGCGTGCCCTTGCCGCCCGACTGGGTCGCCGTCTGTTTCGTCCGGCGAGCCGCGACGGGATGGGATGTCGGAGCCCGACAGCCCTTCGTGGCTCTTTGTGTGAGCTCTGACTGTGAGGCTTGGCTTCACTAGTCGAGGAGCCGTAAATGGCTCAAGTATTGATGAATTATAGCCGATGCACGTTGCTATGTTGCATTGTGTCGCTATGCAATCACTCACCGACAATCTGTTACTGTGGACGTCAAACCGCGTGGGACGCGACTTTTTCGCAATAACTTTTGAATGCGTTGCCTCTCAAGAACGAAACTTCGGCAATGGACGTTTCAGACCCCGGCCTAATTTTTATTACTAAGGTTTTTCAATGTCCGATCAATATTTAGGGCACTTCCCGTTCACTCGTAATGTTAAATTTTGCTCCTGAAACTCTCTCGGTGAGCAGAGGCTACTCCACAAGGGGCGGAGCCATAGTGTGACGTTGGAGCTAAGCTCCGCCTCGGCTGGCCGTTGCCTGAGGCGCTACCTGACCCGAGACCGGTCAGTCGCGGTCCGTAGGGGTTGGTACGCGGTGCTTCCTGCCAACACACCCAGCCGCATGGCGTACGTTATTCATGCTTGCCCTAAGGGCTGCAAGAATGTATTTGCAATGCGCCTCTTGTCGGTATTTAACCGTGAAGGAAGCCGCGATAAACTGAAAATTCTATCAATTCTATCAATGAAATATTTTCTTCGACTCGCTAAGAATGTCACCCAGATAGGAAGACTATATGCGTACGCCAAATATTACGATGATTTAAGAATAACAGAAAATAATTAAATGATTATTTAATAAGTTTGTCAACGTAATTACGTAAATGAGATACATAATACCTAATATAATATATTTACACAGTCAAGTTAATTTTTTTTTTAATTAACACTTTAATTGTAGGTTCTTGTAGATATCAAACCGCCAGGAACGTTAGTACACTTCGTGTTATCCTGCCAAGCCCCAATATGCCCCAACTTAAATGTTTCCGTAATGCACCGGTACGCATAGCCGGAGGGGAGGCGGATCCGCCGGAGCCGTCATATTTTGCCCTGAGTGGGAGCCGGAGCCGGAGCCGTATTGCCATTTTACTCGGAGCCGGAGCCGGAGCTGGAGCTGACTCAAATGTTCAAGGCTCTGCATCCTTGCTGCTAAGTCAATAATTCGTATAGTTAATTTGGTAAAGGGCCATACTGAACAATCTCGGTTTTTTTCTCGGATTGAAAAACCTGGTAAAAGGCCATGCTGAACAATCTCGGTTTCGAGATGTCCGCCCATCTGAGACCCGACGCACACAGCATGCAGAACCGGTTCTGAGTGAGGATCGACCGACAGATGGCAGTCGTGTCTGAACGGTAGATGGCAGGGAATTCGTAGTTATAATTATTATTATTATATTTATAATGATTATTTATATAATTTATATAATTATTATAATATTATAATAATTATAATATTTATATAATTATTATATATTATTATATTATTATTATTATATAGGGAATTCGTAGTTAGTTATAGTAGGCGGGGCTTCGCGAGCAGCCTGACGATAGCCGCCATCCGGGCTGATATTTCACTTAGCATTACGAGTGAACGGGAAGTACCCTAAATATTTATTTGACATTAAAAAACCTTAATGATAAAAATTAGGCCGGGGTCTGAAATGTCCATTGCCGAAGTTTCGTTCTTGAGAGGCAACGTATTCAAAAGTTATTGCGAAAAAGTCGCGTCCCACGCGGTTTGACGTCCACAGTAGGTACCTAAAATGGTCCGCAATCTGCTACATTCCGCGCGGATTTATGGCGAGGAACTGCTGTGATAAAAAATGTTCCATTCAAGAAATTGTCGGCCTAACCACAATAAACATGAGAACACCCACTGAAAAAAAGGCGCGATGTTTTGCAAAGCTGATGCTCTGCATTCCTAACACAAAGTCCGATGGTAGCCGCCCAGCAGCACTACTCACACCACCACCTGTTGCACCTAGTCTGAGCGGCCCCTCCCACCTGTCAGAACTGACATGCTTCCCTCGAGACGCGTCCGGCACAGAGAACAGAAGCATCAACAGACCGGGGTGCCAGCACTCAAACTGACACCGCGGCTGGCCCGCGTCTGTCCCGGTCAGTGAACGGTGGCCAGCGCCGGACAGCGGGATGACAGCTCGCGCAGACACGCGCGCTCAGTCGAGATATGCCACAGCCCTGCCGCTGTCTTTCCGGCGTCGATCGGGTCGTCCGGCCCTGTACTCAGAGTCCCCGGCGGGCTGACAGGGCGCGCTAGAGCCACTAGCGACGGCGGCTGCAGGGTCAGAGGTGCTGCCGCTGGCCGGCGGGCGACACGGGGCCGGCACGGCGCCAGCGGCCGCCGCTCGACCGGAAACTGACGGACGTCATCAGGCCGGCTGACGCGCCTCGAATTGGGCGCCGACGGCCGTCACCGGGCTGCATCGGACTAACCGGCGGAGCGGTCCACCCGTCACCCCTCCCCCCCCCCCCCCACAGCTACCTGAGCAGCAACAGCTCTAGATGTTTGTGTGTGTTTTACGGTATCTAGGAAACACGCTCCACTTTATGTTCTAGGCAACTAACAAAAATGCTCTTTTCATTCATTTCGTGGAATGTGCCGATCCCTGAGAGCTGACCATCGTCGCGCAAAATTCTCTCTTAGCTTTCTTGGGTCCAACACCTCCGTGGAATAATTACTTGGTTTTGCATTCCGCTCTGGCGGGGCTGTCAGCGGCCCTGTGACGGCCCGCGGCTCGTTTGCGCCGCGCTGAGAGATGGCCAGCACTCGCCGCCAGCACCATGTCGTCAGCCCGTCGTTAGTGTATACAGAATGTTCATGCTACTGGTGAAACTATACAAACAGTAGCCACAGGTGGTGGTCTAACTCACTCAGTGATTAGCGGCGATGCAGGCGAAACCGCTTCAAACTGGTGAGCGATCTTGTTTATTTTAATATTTCTAATTATCTATCTGACTTCTATCACATGTTTGTTTATTTATGCCACCATGTTTGTTCCATTACCATTTTCAATACGTGTAGGATTGATGTAAAACGAACATGGCAACATATAAGGTGAGCTACATTGTAGCGGGGGAATCGTTTTGAAAAGACGTAACATTATGAGTCACGAATTGCATGTTTTGTGCACAGTAATGTGCAGTTTGCTAATGATGATAAGGGACCACATACAACATTTTACGACCAATCCTCTCTCACTTCATATACAGATCACTACATACTGCACAAACTTGCAAAACATCAGCCACCCCTCCCGCCCAGCACCCCCAGCACAGCTCCCTCCCGCAGCCCCAGCAGCCCCGGTCGGCCTACCTTTCCTGCAGCCCTCCTTGACCGGTGGGAACAGATCGGCGGGAGCGCTGTGAACTCCGCGGGTCAGCGCGCGCGACTCCAGTTTCCCGACTCTGACTCGTCCTGTGCGGCGCACAGACCTCCGCTCGGCTCGCGCTCCGCACCACCGCCGCGCCGCGTCGCTCGCGACTGCCAGCGTCGCCGCCGACGGGCCGGGCGTGAATGCGACCTCTGACGTCACGGCTGGCGTCGGTCCGAGCGAGCCGCCGCCGTCGGCCCGAGCCGAGCCCGGAGAGAGAGACCGAGTGCCGGAATCATGGCCCCAGAGAAGCGCTAGAGCAGGCTTTAGGAGCTGACGCTTCTTTGGATTTACAGCACGCCAAGAAGGTTTATGCTTACGTTGAATCGCATACCATGTAATGTGGCGTTTCCGTTGTTCAATTTAGATACCGCTTGCTTGAATGAGCGAAAATAGAACTTCAGTTTCTAGTGGTATTGAAATGATTAATATCAATATATTACTCAGTATACGTCTTTTTGTTATTGTTGATTATGTTTTGGATTTCCGGTGATGTAAATTTTCTAAATTCTGAGAAAACATTACTTTTCTATTCTTGATGCTATGGGGGCAAATGTTTTTATCGACACTACATGCGTACCATTTGACAAAGCCAGAGCTCTCACTAAGCAGAGCTTGCTGCTCAAGCACTTACCCTCAGTATTGCTAATTACTATTGCCGTTTGTAATTGGTTTTAGAGCTGATAAAAGCAATAAGGATGCACATCGGTTTATAGTGAACAATGAACATTCTGATCATTTTGTTGCATGCTCTGAGACAGCCTGTCTCCGGGAAGTAGCCTTGGTGATGTGCTAATTTTGAGACGACATTAAAATGGATGTCGTTGACTTGTCTGAGTCACCTGTAGTTGAGAGGCTCGACGTATCGATTTAAGATCTGTTGCGATTCCAAGTCGAATGTGTAGCGAATGAAAACCCAAAAAAGTTATAAATACACCAAGCGGATGTATTTTAATCAAAGTCCGGGCAAACCCAGCTCTAAACACCGGAGAAAACAGTGACCCTGCCGTCCGCGCTTCAGGGGTCGCCAATCGCAATAAACAGATGCGGCCACAGTGCCGACTCGATCCTTAAATAGGTACAAGTAAATACTCGAGATAGGCTCGAGCGCTACCCCGCAATTACCAACCCTTTAATAGGCTCACAGCCGTATAATTATGAGCGCCCGTACTTGGCACGCTAAATGGTTAATTTCAATACAGCACCATTAATAGCAGCAGACGATCAGCCCACAGACGTTCACGTTTTAACTGCCGCATTAATGGCGCTGTGTTTTGGTGGTCGGGACAAAATGGGTGTGGGGTGGAGGCTAGCCGACAGACGTAGTCTCCAATTTAGATTCTCGAACGCATATGCGCCGCGGGGAACGCCGACAGACTGCCCACAGACGAGCCTGCCAACGCCCCGCAAACGGATATAGATTCGAGAGCCCAACACACCCAGCCGCAGCAAGGACTGTTGCGCGACTGCCCTCCGCCGGCGCGCCCTCACCCGACCTCGCCTCACAATCACGTGGTCAGCAGCCGACCAATCACTGCACGAGTCCGCGCCGCACAGCCCCGCTCCAGCGAGTGATGCTGTGCCGCAATACAGCGGCCGCGCGTCGGCCGGGAAGCTCAGCCGGCGGCCGGGCGAATCACTGATCACAGCAAGATACAAATATTACCTAAAACCACTCATGACCGAATTTCAACATTCTCCCCACCAAAAAATGGGGTTCACCACATTTTTTTCCACTCAAATTCACTCGGGGGAGTACCGCTTCACTCGCATGGTCCTCTTAGTCGCGCCGAAATACCACTGTCCGTGACATTGCGATCGAGCTTTCTGGGGCGCCAGCGTCGCTCGAGCACCTTCGGGCGGAGAAGCAGTCACTTCGACGCGCCGAAAACGCGGCACGTTCAGGTGCAGCACCGGCGCATCTTGGCACGGTGCGGCAGCTTTGTCGATTTAGCAGCACCGGGCGCATGGTCGCATCCCTCGGGCGGAGAGGTGGTCTTTCCGACGCGCCGAAAAAGGCGGCCCGTCCAGGCGCAGCATCGACGGCGTCCCGGCACGGCGCAGCAACCATGCCGGCATTGCCGGCCCAGCGGCCCGGCGTACGGCCGGTAAAGGAAACTGAAAATAAGAAAGAAACAAACACTTCGTAAGTAGAGGGCAAACATAAACATTTAAGGCAATCATGGCAACAGGGCCACTACCAAATGGCCACAGACTCAGCCGCCAGACTGAGTTTGCCCTCACAAATAAACAACATTCATACACTTATCCTAAGCAATAAACAGATAACCCTCTTTCTCAGGGGATCAAACGGTCCCTTCTCAGCTGGGGATCTGCCAGGGCACTGTTGTTCATGGCCAGTTCTTCCCCACAGCGCGTTTCACTGCCAGAAGCCTCCCCACCATGGGACAGCCTCGGGGATGAACCCAACTGGGGCGCGTTGCGGTGGGTTCACCCTCGACGGCGCCACCGATGCCACCGCCAGATTCCGCCGGGGTGCTTCCTCTGCACCGACGGGATGGGTCGGAGGCCGACGATCGAGGGCGCCTCACGGCACCACGACGGCCGGGAGCAGCGGCCATATGTCGGCCTCTCGTCAGAGCCCCAGATCGGGGGCGGCTCATGCAGCTTCTCACTCATCAGCTGCGGGTTTGAGTGTGAGTCGCACATCTCCTTTCCATGAATGCCAGTTGGGCTCGCGTCCCAGTCAGCAGCATCGGGCCGACTAGAAGGGCACTGGCTCGTGTGGGGACCATCACTGTCTCCACCTTTCAGCCCATAGTCAAAAATAGTATCGATGGCTCTCAGCCCATCAGCCTCCAACTGATCCTGTAGGACGACCTGATGCACGTCATCAGCCGCTACGAGGACGTCAACCTCACCGCCCCGGAAATCATCAGCCGTCTGGATCTCAGACGGCAACCGAGGCGGCTGAGCAGTTGGGGGTGGTGAGCACAGCACGTCTGTGCTCTTCATGTCAAGTTTGACTGACGGTCCACCGAAACGACTTTCAATATCAACCTCATCTCGATCATAGGCGCAAGGCTGCTCGGTTCTCTCATGGAACCCGATACAGGCAAATGTGTCGGAGCCCTTATCAGGTAGTCCCAGCTCCAGAGCCAGGGAGCTCCTGACATAGGAGGCGTCAGATCCTCCATCAAGGAGATCACGTGCCGGCGTGCGGCCATTGGGACCTGCTGCCACAACAGCAGCGGTTTGCAAGAAGCTCTTTCCTGTAGAGCTGACATTATATCGGTGACGGCTGGACAGCTCAACACCGTGTGTCTGAGCCTCTGCACAAGTACCCGGAGCAGGAGGCTCAGGAGGCTGGAGTGGTTCAGCATCAGGGCTCAACTCAGAAACTGCTGAGGGTGAATGCTGCGTTCCAAGCTCCGCATCATGCAGCAGCGAGTGATGCTGGCGGCCACGCTCAGCACACGGACTGCCCAGACATTCCCTGGCCAGGTGTTCAGAGTCGAGGTCTCTGGTGGTCACCGAGAACGTTGCTGGTGGGTCAACAGCAGAGCATTCACTATTCGGGCCCCTAGCAAGCTCTCTGACCCGAATCTCCTCCTTCAAAAACACCAGGAAGTCATCAAAGTGGTGACTCGATCGCCGGGCCCACTCCAGACGCCAGTCTTCCGGGATATTGCCCTTCACCATGGGCAGCAGCAGGCTGGATAGGCTCTCTGAGGAGACACCCAGAGTGCTGAGAGCTCTCGTGCGCGCAGACAGGTGATCTATGAAGGATCGCATGGCCTTCAAGTCACCGTGGCGGACTGATGACATGTTCATCAGCTCCTTCAAGAGAGTCTCCCGTCGCACATTCTCGAGGTCAAATCGCGCTTTCAGAGCTGACACCGCCTGCACATACCCGTCACCCGTGACCGGGATGCCCTGAATGGCCCTCAATGCCGCTCCGGCAAGATGCGACTTGAGGACCACGAATCTCTGAACGTTGGCATAGCACTGGTTGTCGTGCACAGCAATCGAAAACAGTTCCCAGAACTCGGGCCATCTCATCACATCACCATCGAATGTGGGAATCGCCACGGTGAGAGATGATTTCAAATCGGCGCTACCAGCTGCCTTCATCGACTCTGCCCTGAACTGGGCCTCCTCTGCCTTCTCGAGGCGAGTCAAAAGGCGAGAACCGAGGAAAGCCTCATCCTCTAGAGTCTGAACATGATCCGTCTCATCGGCTTGACCCTGTTTGTCCAGCTGAACCTGAACAGCCTGTAGTTCAGCATGGATCTTCTCCACATGATGGAGTTTGAGGGCAAGCTGGTCCTGATCTAGGGAGGCCCGATCTCCTTCCCGGTATGATCGGAGATCGTTGCACGCTTTAGTAGCCTTTGTGCGGAGACACGACCTAGCAGCCAGTAGCTCCTCCATGTTTCAGTGAAATGCAAAGTAAATCAAAGAACAAAGTGGACTGTATGTTCAAAACAAACCATCAATTTACCCAGTGGACTCAACAAATTAAATGTCCGGTAGCCATGGGGACTGTGTCCTCCACTGAATAAATGATCCGGCCCCGGTGGACTATGTTGCGATTCCAAGTCGAATGTGTAGCGAATGAAAACCCAAAAAAGTTATAAATACACCAAGCGGATGTATTTTAATCAAAGTCCGGGCAAACCCAGCTCTAAACACCGGAGAAAACAGTGACCCTGCCGTCCGCGCTTCAGGGGTCGCCAATCGCAATAAACAGATGCGGCCACAGTGCCGACTCGATCCTTAAATAGGTACAAGTAAATACTCGAGATAGGCTCGAGCGCTACCCCGCAATTACCAACCCTTTAATAGGCTCACAGCCGTATAATTATGAGCGCCCGTACTTGGCACGCTAAATGGTTAATTTCAATACAGCACCATTAATAGCAGCAGACGATCAGCCCACAGACGTTCACGTTTTAACTGCCGCATTAATGGCGCTGTGTTTTGGTGGTCGGGACAAAATGGGTGTGGGGTGGAGGCTAGCCGACAGACGTAGTCTCCAATTTAGATTCTCGAACGCATATGCGCCGCGGGGAACGCCGACAGACTGCCCACAGACGAGCCTGCCAACGCCCCGCAAACGGATATAGATTCGAGAGCCCAACACACCCAGCCGCAGCAAGGACTGTTGCGCGACTGCCCTCCGCCGGCGCGCCCTCACCCGACCTCGCCTCACAATCACGTGGTCAGCAGCCGACCAATCACTGCACGAGTCCGCGCCGCACAGCCCCGCTCCAGCGAGTGATGCTGTGCCGCAATACAGCGGCCGCGCGTCGGCCGGGAAGCTCAGCCGGCGGCCGGGCGAATCACTGATCACAGCAAGATACAAATATTACCTAAAACCACTCATGACCGAATTTCAACAAGATCGGTTCTATCAGGGGCCTAAAATTATGTGCATGACTGTTGCTCCACGTCACTCTAAATACATCAGACCATTCATTTATGCAGCATTCCTGGCAACGCTATCAACATAGAATATCTGTTTTCACGACGGCCATCTGGTACACATTTGGTGCACGTCTGGTGCAAATTAGGTGCAGATTTGGTCAAATTAGATTCAGTGTGTCTCTTAGTAGCTATCAGCTATAGGGTTGCAATATTTGCTTACATGCCTGCTTTGTCATATTATCAGAGAGTATCATCGATTAAAACACTGAGATAAATTCATAAAATAAAGATATTTGCTGTAAAAGAGATCAGGTGCAGATTTGGTCAAATTATGTGCACTCGCCGGAGAGCCCGTCGTGAAAACGGCTAATACCAACAAGCTAAATCTAATAGCCTGATATATTTGAACAATGGACAACAAAAGTTACAACATGCGTCACGTCGCAAACTTTGGCATTTTCCAGGATTATTCAACATTCATATTGGTGACTCAAGTGCATTACGTAACAACTCCTACCGATCAATTTCATTAAAAATCGATGGTATTTTGACTAAGAATTATTGACACAGCTTTGTCACGAATATTGGAAGTTAGCCAAGATGTGTGCTACTGCCTCGAACAATTGAACAAAGTTATCGTTTAAACCTCTAACAACGACATTTTTACTTCAAAGCAGGCTTAGATACTGCTTGACGTGCCTTTTTATATATCCTTAGACTTTATGATAATTGATAAATCATGGTTGGTTTGGTGCGACAAACGTAAATTAGTGCGGCTAGTGTGACTGTCGTTGCATCAACTATAGGCACGCTGCCCGTGCTGTGGACCACACGTTTTGGGCAGGGTAGGTGTCAGTCGCATAGCCCCGGAGATTTGAGTCCGGCGCCGCCCAGTCGGTACACGGTTTGGCGAGCGTCACTGGCGTGTCGAGCACCATCCGGTAGTGGACGGGTACATCGGCCTCACCCTCCGTGCAGCGGAGGCGCCCACCTGGCCGGCGCCCGCCGGCCGTCCCCCGCCGCCGGACCGGAGTCGGAGTCGAGGTCGGACCGCTATTTCAACGTGGCGCCGCCGGTGTCTGCCGCCGACGCATATTTACGTCTGGACAACGAGTTGCGGGGAAAAGTGCTGATTTTGTTGCAGTTTTAGGAGCCGGTAATTTGGCTGGATTTTTTGGTTACTTTTTCGTTCCGATTAATGTATTTCATTGTGTTTGGCTTTTGAATATTTTAGTTCTTTCAGATAAATACTACTTGCCTTACAACTTTTGTAAAAACGTTTCATTTTTTATAAGCCGACGTTCAGAGTCCTAAAAATATATCAGCACTACAATCATTGTAAACAAACAAATGGAGCACACCACTTGACTCTGTTCCAAGGCCATTTTTTAGTTTATCTGGTGGTTTTCTTACTCTTGTACGTCGTTTTGTTGGATGTTTTGAATATTGACTTAAATCATATTTAAGAAGCATGTTGACTGAAAACAATCCGAAGTATCCAGGAGGCTGACAGAGGTCCTGACTCCTGAGCAATATCAATATCAAGTCAAAGTTGAACAAGTTATGAAATTTTGGTTGATAAACGCAAGGTGATCGGGCTCATATATCAGCAAGAAAAGGTAAAATTAAAAGAGCTTATTGGCCAAAAACAAGCTATAGTATTGCAGACCTTGGAGCAATACCTACTGAAGAGCACGCTGAGCAGGATCGTGCCAGAAAATGTTGACTAGTGAGCGCATATTGATGTATTGGTACGGATATTGAATGATAACTTACAACAGCAAGATAAATTAGTGCTAACTTTCAAGTTAAAAATCTAGAATGAATGGACTTTGGCAGCTTAGATGCTTCATGCTATGCAGATCAGTCGGGCGCACTATGGTATCGGCAGTCCATTTATGGATACGTATCTATTAATGGAAACGTTTCCAAATTTGGAAGGCACTTTGTTCCATTTATGGAAACGCCAGTTCCAAAATTAGAAACGCCAATTTTTAAGCAGGCATATTTCTGTATTTCTTAAGTTAATAGTAATCTTTTCAGCTGGCGTGTCTTTTCGTCGATATGTTTTCTCCCAAAACAGTAAAACCCAACAATATTTTCGTGCGCAAATGGCGAATCTGATGCCCTGACGCAAACCCTTGTCAACGTTCCATTTTTGGAAACGGAAGGTTCCAAAAATGGAAACTATGAGCCAACACAGGAAAAGGCATAAGCACCATATTATTGATATGTGGGCCTGTCTACCCCACGCCCTCTAAGTAATTGCCGAGCTATTGATGCCGGTACATGTTCTGATATGGGTGATTTCCCTTTGCATCTAAATTTCGTATGAATGGTCCTCCAATTGCTTGGGAATAGTGCCCGAAAGCCGATGTTGGTACAATAATGCTTACGGAAATGTGTCTTCTGGTGAAAGTCCCCAATTTCTATGCACTTACATAAACCCCAGAACTGTCCAACCGTCTTGCCTACTAAGCTGCTACTGCTTACGAAACCCACATTATAACATATTTTAACTGTTGCAAGCATGCATGCGTGACTGCAGTAAGCGTCGCGATGTGCCCTGAATTGTGGTTAACAGACTCTGGCTTCCCAAGAAAAGCAAGGCTTTATAAGTAAGGTTGGAGTTTAACTTCGGCCTAATCAGGCCGGTTCAGAAGCTCCGGTTCGCATTTCATGCTGTCGGAGCGTGCACCTTTTCCAACCTTCTCGTGGATTATTAGAAATGAGAAAGGCAGAAAGTGCTTCTAAAAACATTAAATGCAAATAAGAGTTGAAATACTTATAACCTACTGCATCCGTGAGCTGTATGTACAGCTTGAGTTAAAATTCGTCATTTGTTCCAAAAATGGAAACTGTGCTTCATAAAGCATTACCTATTCAATGGGCCTTACACAGGCACTAACTGAAGGCCTACTGAACTAATACGGTGCAAAGTGGGCAATTAGTACAGTTTGAGCATTTCCCTATCCATAGAAATTGTTTATAACACCTTGTCATCGCTTTTTCATATAATTGAATCGTTTAAAACTGGACGACAGCTTAGATCGCTTCCGACAAGCAGTAACATATCAGACCTTTAATGCAATTATTTACATACATTCCACCAACTTTCACACATTCGTCAGTTAAATGGGTGCTAAGAAGTTCAGTTTGCCCACTTAGAAGCATCTGTACGAAATATTTTCCAACTTGCCGCCTTCCAAAGCCGGAGAGACGATCTCCGCACGTGGTCACCAACACGCCATTCAGGGCTTGCTTTACAGCAATGTAAAATATTAATGAATACCAGACAGCAAGTCTGTCAATTTAAACATTGCCATTCTTGTGAAAATCAAATTTTTCCACAAAAAAATGAGGTGTATTTCATTAATGACACATAAAAGTTCACCTATCATGAAAAATTTTATTGTTTACAAAAGGAAGTGGACCGTGCAAGCCTGTTCAACAGCCGATTTTTCTGTTCAACGTTGGAATTATGAAGCGAAATGCGGTCTTTTGATTGGTGGTCTTTGTTTGATGCGGAAATCTATGGTTTATTGCGGAAACTACCGAACAGGTTTATGTGCTCCTTGCGTTTCCGAAAATAGAAACGGAGCGTTTCCATTATTGGAACAGATGGTTTTTAGCGTTTCCATTTTTGGAACTTTCTTCCAAAAATAGAAACGTTTCTATAAATGGACTGCCGATACCATAGTGCGCCCGACTGAGATTGTAATGTGCATCAGGTACTCAGTGTCTGGCAAATGAAACATGCGATCATTCTATTGCTACTGGAGGAGAAAGCTTGGATCACTAAATCCACTTTATGTTGATTTTGATGTTAATCATCACTGTATTTCTTGAAAAAAGGATTATAGTAGAATTGTCAATGTGACAATCCATGCAACGATGTGATCATATAATGTGTTCATAGTCATTCGTGATAGTGATTATTGGTCCAATATACAATGGCAAAGCTCTCAGTCTCAGCGTTTCTTCCTGTGGATGGCCAGCAGTGA